GCTTGAACCTGGGAGGCGGAGGTTGCAGTGAGCCGAGATCACGCCATTGCACTCCAGCCTGGGCAACAGAGCAAATCTCTGTCTCAAAAAAAAAAAGAAGAAGAAGAAGAAAAAAGTAACTGTGTTGCTCTGTAGTGTGTCAGTTTAAATATAATAGTCAAGATTTTTAGTTAACTTTAAGACAATGGACATTAAGAAAAATTAATAGATAATCCTTGAAAACCTGGATGATTTCTAACATAAGGTATTAAAACATTGATTCCCAAGAATAGTTTTAACATATATGCCACTATTATTTCATATGTATGCCTTGTTTTTTATGTTAGAGGATGGCTATACTTTTGGGTAACGTAAATAAATACATGTGGTTCTTTTTGTTTTGTTTTTGGGTCAAGGCTAATTTTAGTTATGGTATGTGCAGGGCACAAATGTGCAAAAAGGCATTTCTGTCCTTTTTATAAAGGCTTATAAGGAATGTGGGTGGCTATGGGGGAGTGGTATTACATGAACTTGGGAGTGGTATCACATGAACTCAGGAGTCTGTTAAAATGTTTATGTATCACAGTTCTGAATTACCTACCTCCCACATTTTTCTGTGATTAAACATTATAATTTGAGTAGCTGAGACTATCTGGGAATAATCATAACAGAAATATAATAGATATGCTTTTGTTATCAAGGAAATTATAGGTCAGGCATGGTGGCTCACACCGGTAAAACCAGCGCTTTGGGAGGCCAAGGCGGGTAGAACACCTGAAGTCAGGAATTCGAGACCATCCTGGCCAACAGTGAAACCCTGTCTCTACTAAAAATAAAAAAATTAGCCGGGCATGGTGACAGGTGCCTGTAATCCCAGCTACTCGGGAGGCTGAGGCAGGAGAATCACTTGAACCTGGAAGGCAGAGGATGCAGTGAGCTGAGATTGTACCACTGCACTCCAGCCTGGGTAACAAGAGTAAAACTCTGTCTAAAAAATAATAATAATAACAATAGTTTTGTCTTTAAAAAACTAGTTGTTCCAAAATGTAAAACTGATACATAAAAAAGACATCTCAGTTTTGATGGGTTTATTTTCAATTCAGTATTTGAACTTGGGAAGAGTATGTAAAAACATTCCTAAGTGACTATTATTAAGCAAAGATGTCAAAATAGAAAGTACAAACTACAATACAAATAAACGTAAGGCATAACACAAATAGGGATGCACATTAAGTAGGTAGCAGGAAAGTTATAACAACATTTGTGTAATCAGGATATAAACTATGAATATTGCTATAGTCAAGATACATATGGTGATTACCAGAGACCAGCCCTCAACTATCAGAACAAGACATCAGGAAATACTTTTACAGTTTTATGTATCACAAAATGACAAAACAAACATACTATGCAAAAATTGAAGGTAGGTATCAGAAGAATGAAAGTAAGAGTTGAAAATGTATTGTCTTTGATGAGAGGGACCAGGGCACTCAGGGTAGGAATGTATAAAAAAAACGAAAAAGCAGGCTGCTCTTTTTCTTTTTTCTCTTTTTTTGAGATGGAGTCTCACCCTGTTTCCCACGCTGGAGTGCAGCTGCATGATCTCAGCTCACTGCAACTTTCACCTCCTGGGTTCAAGCGATTCTCTTGCCTTGGCCTCCCAAGTAGCTGGGACTACAGGCACCTGCCACTATGCCCAGTTAATTTTTTTATTTTTAGTAGAGATGGGGTTTCGCCACGTTGGCCAGGTTGGTTTCAAACTCCTGACCTCAAGTGATCCGCCCACCTCAGCCTCCCAAGTGCTGGGTTTACAGGTGTGAGCCACTGCGCCTGGCCTGGGCTGCTGTTTTTCAATATAAGCTTTATAACACTGTGATTTCAAACTCTGTAAATATATTACTTTAATGAAAATTAAATTAATTATTTTAAAATGAAAAAGGAATACACAGAGACCACCTTTCAAGTAGAAAGGTACAAGGTTAAGGTAAGATTAAGAAGGGAGTGAATTAGCAAGTTGATAGGGAGGAAAAGTGTTAGGAGACAGAAATAAAATACTTAAAAGCAGCTAAGATCAACTGATAGCTAGGAAAAAGTGAAGATTCATAAACTCCTTCCTAGGTTCCTAGAGCTTCGTTAAATCTAGAATTCTTTCTCCAGGGAGGCATGGATCTTCTATTTCCAATGCTAACTCTATAGGTAACAACATCTACTTCTAGGGCTCCAACCATTAACTTCTACTTGGGTGAATTTCCACTTCCATATTTTTTGACTGTTTTACAACTTTCTTCTGAGCTTCCTGTTTGATCTTCTCATTGATGAATCTTATTCTGTAGAAATTATTTACAGCAATGTTCTAGCTCCTGCATTAGATAACAAGTTTCTTAATAAGCCTACTTATTTTCTAAACTGTACAGCACCTAGCAGACTAGTGTACAAAATTAAAAAGTCAAACATTTTTATAAGACTTTCTATATAAAAATCTTAATTCTCCATAAACTGATATTAATATTCTCATGCAAAGTATAACTTGCCATTTTGATTAAGTTTCAAATGACTCTATATAAGCTAATGCTAATTTTTTTTTTCTTTGAGACTAAGTTTTGCTCTTGTCCCCCAGGTTGGAGAGCAATGGTGCGATCTTGGCTCCCTGCAACCTCCGCTTCCCCGGTTCAAGCGATTCTCCTGCCTCTCAGCCTCCTGAGTAGCTGGAATTACAGGCGCTCGCCACCACGCCTGGCTAATTTTTGTATTGTTAGTAAAGATGGGGTTTCACCATGTTGCCCAGGCTGGTCTCAAACTCCTGACCTCAGGTGATCCACCCACCTCGGCCTCCCAAAGTGCTGAGATTACAGGCATGAGCCACCGTGCCCGGCCTAATTCTAGAATTTACAATGAAAATGCAAAGGACTAAGAAGCAATAGGAGAACTTGCTCTACTAGATAAGATTTATTACATGCTGCAGTATTAATACAGTGTGCTATTGGCACAAGGATAGACAAATAAGCCAAAGGAACAGAATTCAGAGACAGACTCACAGAAATAGGAATACATGATTTATGACCAAGGTAGTCCTATAGAGAATGGGAAAAGGACAGTCATCTCAATAAACACTAAGAAGTCAACTGGATATTCACATGGGAAAAAAATGAAATTTGACCCCTACCTCACAACACATACAAATACCAACTTCAGAAAAGTAGATGTAAATGGAAAAAGTAAAACAATAAAGCTACTAGAATATAACATAGGAAATATCTTCATGACCTTAGGGTAGTCAGTGATTCCTACGCAGGACACAAAAAAGCAACACTAAAGAAAAAGATAACTATGACCACATTAAAATTAATTAACTTCTGTTCATCAAAAGATACCATTAAAAGAGTAAAAGACAAGATATAAAGTGGTGGGAGATATTTACATCATGTATAACCAAACACAGGGCTGATACACAGAATATAAAAAGAATTCTTTGAAAGCAACAGGAAAAAGAGAGACAACCGACTAAGTTTAGCCAAGAAACTTAAACAGGCATGTCACAGAACACACACAGCAGAATAACTAAAATTAAAGGGCCTGGCAATAATAACTGGTAAGAATGTAAGAATGCAGAGCAATGGCAACCTTCATACTGCTACTAGAACTGCAAATTGGTATAACTACATTGGAAAATTGGTATATTTACTAAAGTTGAACACACACATATCCTATTGCTCAGTAATTCCTCTCTTATGTATATATCTAAAAGAAATGTGTACATACATTTGCCAAAAGTTATACACAGGAACGTTCACAGCAGCATTATGCGTAATAGCTAAAAACTGCAAACAAACCAGCTGTCAACAGTAGAAAGGTCACTTATAGTAATTAATAATATATAAAGCATAATTTAAAATATATTCATAGAATGAAGCAGGAGGCAGTGGCTCACGCCTGTAATCCCAGCACTTTGTGAGGCCGAGGCAGGTGGATCACCTGAGGTCAGGAGTTTGACACCAGCCTGGCCAACATGTTGAAACCCTGTCTCTACTGAAAATTCAAAAAATTAGCTGGGCGTGGTGGCACAGGCCTGTAGTCCCAGCTACTCTGGGGGCTGAGGCAGGAGAATCGCTTGAACCCGGGAGGCAAAGGTTGCAGTGAGCCGAGATCACACTACTGTACTCCAGCCTGGGCAAGAGGAAGACTCCATCTCAAAAAATAAATAAATAAATAAATAAATAAATATGTATATATTCATAGAATGAAATACAACATAGCCAATAAGAATGAACTAACACCAGATATATGCAGCACCATAGATATGTCACATAAACAACATGTTGAGCAAAAAAAGCCAAAGGCAAAAGACTAAATACTGTGCGACTGCATCTATATAAAGTTCAGAAATGGGCAAAACGAATCCCTGGTGCTAAATATCAGGATGGTATTTATTTTGGGAGAGGAAAAAGAGGCTGATGATTGGGAAGAGGCAGAGAAGGGGTTCTGAGGTGCTAGTAACGTTCCACTTATTGTCCTAGTAGTGGTTTCACCATTCTCAATTTCACCATGCTATGTAATCATAGTCATGTAGTTTTATGTGTGTATGTTATCCTTCAATTTCTTTTAAAGTAAGAAATAATCAAATGTTTGATAAATGGAAGAATGAGTTATTAAATCCAGAATGAACTGGTCAAAGACGTTAAATAGCTGAAAGTAGATAAAATGAAAACAACTATAGGGAAAGAAAAAGAGACACACACGCACTTACACACATCTATTTCTTAGGGTAGGAACGTCTACTGTTATACAATTCTAAACGTAGCGTATCATAGGAAGGAATGAAACCTAACATGTGGGTAGAATAATTATAGCATAATTATAGCCAGGGAAGTACTTACTATATTGGACTAGGGAGAAAGTATGAGGAAAAAAAGTGGGATACCTTATATGGAAGAGGCTTCCGGCCTTTAAAGGGAGCTTCCTGATAACATCTCAGAAGTATATCTCTTCATAGCCCTGCTCCTGAGCCATCATCTCTTACTTACCTGAACACAGGCCTCTAGTCAGCTCTCTGTCAACCATCCAGGGCTCTTTTCCTTGTTCCAGTAAGGAGATCACAGCTGGCTTAGAACTGGAAAGTCCTGCTCACAAGAAAAGACATGGGACACGGTTATGCTGTGGGCTCCCCAGAAATCAGATCGAGTCCCTTAGTGATCAAAGAAAAGATGACACTACAAGAAGGACCAGAGAAAGATGGAGAAGATGAAGCTTCAGCCGCAGCCCATTGGAGCTGCCCACTTCCAACTCTTCCATTCTATTTCAACTCAAACCATTCCTTAGGGAACAGGGGGCAGAAATTCAGCTGGTTACATGAAGCAAATAATTCACAGTGGAGAAAGGAGACATTTACAAGGGCAGACTCTGAATTTTGGGGAATAGTTATCCTTACCCACTGAAACCAGGTTGCTGAAATTCTCCAACATTACTTCTTTGTATAAATTCATCTGACCAGAGTCCAGGCATTCCCATTCCTCTTGAGAGAAGTCTATGGACACATCCCTGAACATCAATGACCCCTGAAACAACAAACCTGCTTTCACAATGGAAGGAGAAAAGAAAAAGATGGTGGTAGAGGTGGCAAGAAAGGACAGAGTAAGCAAAATTAAAGGGGGTGAATCCTATCATATCAGAAGATATATGTCCTGTGTACAAAGGGATGTACAAATAGGCTGGACTTTTCCAGTGACAGGAAACAGCATGCATTCAGTTCAATTAGTAAGTTTCTTCCCCCTCCCCACTTTCCCTTTATGCCCCAAGAGAGGGGAAAATGGGAGGGGCTTTCAAACACATCTCATAATACTTGGAGTAAAAATTCAGAATATCAGGGCAAAACAAAAATGAAAGTTTCTAAAAGCTTCTAGGAAGAAAACACGGATCACATAAGTTTTCAGGAATAAGAATGGCAATAGACTTCTCAATAGCATCATTTGAAACAAGAAAAAAACCAAGCAATTCCTTTAATACTATAAAGGAAAATAAATTCTGAAATAGAATTCTATCTCCAATGAGATTACTAAGCCACTATGAAGATTAAATCAAGATAATTTTAAATCTGCAGGGAATGATAAAAGTATTTCCAATGTGGTTTTTCTTAGGAAGCTACTGGGCTACATGTTCCATCAAAACTAGGGAGTAAATTAGGAAAAAGAAAAGGTACTATATTAAGACACTGGAGAACTAACATGAAAATGGTGATGAAAGTGCCAGTATAATTATAAAAGGCAAATCCTAGAACACCATCCAGCAGCAGACTGAGAGAACAGCATCTAGGAACAGAAGAAGTGAGGACTATAGGAAAGACATCTCCAAAGAAAACTAAGGAGCTAGTATGTTTGATCATGCAGAAAATATCGACAGGCAACTGACAGCAATGTTAGAGAATTTGAAAAAAAATAGCGACACATACATAAAATAAGGCAAAAGAAGAAACAAGGCAATTTGCTCTGAGAAGAACACAAATTGTACTGGAAAGAATCAAAGGTGGTGAGGCCGCGCGCGGTGGTCAAGCCGTGTCAATCCCAGACACTTTGGAGCCTGAGCCGCGGATTCACGAGTTCAGGAAGATCGGAGACCATCCTGGCTTAAAACACGCGGTGACCTGCGGTGAAACCCCATCTCTTACTAAAAAATACACACCAAAATTAGCCGGGTGAGGTGGCGGGGCGCCTGTAGTTCCGGCTACTCAGGGAGGCTGAGGCAGGGTGAGAATGGCGTAAACTCAGGAGGCTGGAGACCTGCAGTGAGCTTGGCGAACTCTGGCCACTCCACCCCAGCCGTTGGGCGACAGAGCCAGAATCCGTCTGCAAAAAAAAAAAAAAAAAAAACAAGAATCAAGGGGTGGATCTTTTGCAGTGAACTGGATCCGCCCGACTGCAGCTCCCCAGCCTGGGCGACCACGAGCGACGACTCAAAAAAAAAAAAAAAAAAACAAAAAGGCCGGCGCGGCGTGGCTCAAGCCTGTCAATGCCAGCACTTTGGAGGGCCGAGGACGGCGGACTCACGGAGTCAGGAGATTGGGACCATCGCCTGGCTAACACGGTGAAACCCCCGTCTCTGCTAAAAAATACAAAAAAAAACTAGTGCCGGGCGACTGGTGGGGCGCCTGTAGTCCCAGCTACTCGCGGGGAGGCCTGAGGCAGGAGAATGGCGTGAACCCAGGAGGGAGCCTGCCGTAAGCCGAGATCTGGCCACTGCACCTCAGCCTGGGGGACAGAGCAAGACTCCGGTCTCAAAAAAAAAAAAAAAAAAAAAAGAGTGAAACTTATGGCTTTAAGCATAAATATAGGAGAGTATCTGCATGACCTTGGGACAGGGAAGGATTTATTAAATAAGATACAAAAAGCACTAACCATAAAGAAAAAATATTGATAAACTCAGCTTTTTTAAAAAAAGAACTTATCATAAAATCATCTTACAGGAAGTGATGAAATCTTCCAAGTATTAGGAAAACACAATAAAGGACTGAGATTCAGATTACATAAATAACTCATATGAATCAATAAGAGCTATTCCAAGACAAAAATGAGTAAAGATTTGAACTGACATGTCACAAAAGATGAAATGCCAAAAACCAATAAACATATGGAATATATTCAATTTTATTATTAATGATGGAGACCCAAATTCAAACCTGTGGGGGTAGAGGGGTGTTAAGTACAGATATATATTCAAATGAGGATTTAAAAGTCTGGCATGTCTGATTTTAAAAAAGTAGATACCATAGTTTTCTCAAACGTAGAAAAATATATTTCCCAAGACCATTTGATGACGTGGGATCATATTTATGACACTTTTTTTTGTAAAAATGTAGAACATCAAATGGCAAATGAAACAAAATTTGGTTCTTGACATATAATGAAAATACATTAAAATATTAACACTAGTTATCTGAGTGGTCAAATTTTATTTTTTCCTGGTAATGCTGTATTTTTGAGATCTCTAAACTAATCATCCTTTTATTTTTAAATCATAATAAATATTTAAGAAGAAAATTCAGCAAGCATAAGTGGAGCAACCATCCTTTTCTGTGATGGGAAAATTATAGGGACCTAGAATTAAATGACATTCCTTTATTAAGCAAGAATTTTCAGAAGAAAAAGAAGAAACCCCAACACACCTTGGATACTGCTTGTAGAAGTTCATCATGCATTCTTTCCTCCTCTTCTGGGTGACACCTGGAGAAAGGTAAAATTGAGAGAGGGAAGAGTAACTGTAAGACACCAGGTTTTTCTTGGTACCCAAATTAGTCAAGTAAGAGGTCTTCTCCAGCCCCATTACCCACCACACACGGGGAATGGAGATCAGAGGAGAATGGGGCATCCTGTCCAATTCCAGTGGCTCAGGGAAAAGGCTGTGTTCACTGCTGTCCAGGGTTCGAATCTGACCACCAGACCTCAGAGAGGTTTCCTAGAGACAGAGTTCTGGAGTCACAATCGCACAGTTGACGGGACCCCATACTCATACACAGAATGCCACATACCGTTAGGGACAGTCACACTTAAATCAAGGCGACATGCATGTCTCACCTGCACACACGGAGCCACACACGGCAACACAGTTACAATCACATAGGAAACACACAATTACAGCTGCACAATCGTAGGCACCCCACACTGTCGCAGTCACAATCACACATCACCACGGGTACACACAGCCACAACCCCTCCAGTGACAGGTATCCCATATCCGCACATAAGCCGCAGTGTTATTATCTCCCAGACAATTCCACAGCCTCCCCTCTTTTTTGGAGGGGTGGGGACAGAGTCTTGCTCTGTCGCCAGGCTGGAGTGCAGTGGCGCGATCTCGGCTCACTGCAACCTCCGCCTCCTGGGTTCAAGTGACTCTCCTGCCTCAGCCTCCGAGTAGCTGGGACTACCGGGTAACTGGGACTACCGGCGCGCGCCCAGCTAATTTTTGTATTTTTAGTAGAGATGGGGTGTCACCATGTTGGCCAGGATGGTCTCGATCTCTTGACCTCGTGATCCGCCCGCCTCGGCCTCCCAAACACAACCTCCCCCTTTCAAATAGCTCCGCCCGCACGGACCCAAGGCGCCAGCTCCCCACCAGCCTTCGGTATCCTCAACTAAGCCCTTTCCAGTCATCCCGGATGGGAACTTGCAGACCCGAGCCAGTTCTCCCGGGGACCAAAATATCTCACCTCCCAGATCTAAGAGTCCCGCCAGGAGTGACGAAACGTTCGAATTCCTGCGAGAAAAGTGGCAGGCCACCAGGCCCTCTGGGAAATGTAGTCCAGAGCGGGACCCACGCCGATTCCTGTCAGCTCCTCGCCTGGGCCCACCCGAAACGGCTGCTCCCTCAACTCTCAATATCCAGCCGAGCCTCGGAGTTGCGGGTCGCTGTAGCGCTGGGCAATGGAGATGAGCCTCCCCGGGAACCGGGCCCACGCCTCACCCTCACACAGGAAACGCAGACCTGTTCTGGCCGGATGTTGAGTGGGGCCGCGGGGCCTGCTGGGAGGTGATGTCCTCGGAAACGTCGCGGACGCGGAGTGATGGTTCGGGGCTTTAGGCGTCTGTTCCACACCTATCTGTGGGTCCCCTTCACCCAGAATCTCAGAAACTGCGCGCGGGATGAACATTCGGGTGTTTCCGGCAGGTGACGCTGCCGAGTCCCCGCAGCAGGGGCGAGCAAGGGACTCGCGGCTGACGGGACACGGAGCCACTTAGGCCCAGAGTGTCCCGAGTAGCGGCAGTGGGGAGTGCTCAGGGTAGGCTACTGGTGAGTGGTTGCAGTTGTTGGGACAGAAAACTGTGAAGGGAGTTAGTGTGGGTGTGTGGTTGTGTGTGTGAGTGTGACGGCACGAATAATTGTGATGGGGTGATTGTGATGTTTGGTTGCGCGTGATTATGATGAAATGTGTGATATGTGTGTGATTGTGATTAAGGCTCTAGTGAGTGTGAGCGTGGCGAAGTGTGCGTGATTGTAATATGTCTAGTAGTTCCTGTCTTGAGCTGGCTTCTCTGTAGCATTTGGCATAGTTGATAACGACTTGAAAAACACTTACTTGTTTTTTACTGGTCCTCTCTCCCTGTTGGCCACTCCTCTGTAGTCTCCTTTGCTGCCTTTTTTACCGTAGTCCTTGACCCTACAGTTTGTGGTTTTTCAGTATTCCTTAGTGAACTTTTCAGGTTCATTATTAGATTATGACTTGCTGCTCTTATGTATATTAGTTAGCTATTGCCGTGATAATAATGATGTCTAAAAACCACCCCTGAACTCAATGCCATACAACAGCAAGTCCTTATTCTCCTGTTCACAGGCTGGCGCGTTGACGGTGTTCAGCTGATCTAGGTGGGGCTTGGTTGAGTGGATAGGCTGCGCGACGAGTTAAGATCTGCTCCGCATCTGTTCTTTCTGGATCTCAGGCCAAAAGCACATTTATTGCCAGGGCATGCTCTGCTCATGATGGGTCACCAGAGCACAAGAGAGATTGCCTTAACCAGAACAAGTCACATGGCTAAGCCTAAAATCAATTATGCCCACAATTGGAGGGCAAAGTTACCTTCCAAAGAGTATGAATATATAATCTATTAGAGGGGGTGAGGAATTGGACTAAAATTCCAATCTACCACCTTAAGAAACATACCTCTTTATCCTGGTGAGTGCCTTTTAGTCCAGGTTCGCTTTTGTCTGATAATATTGCTTTTCAAGTTTTATTGCATTTCTTAAGAATTTCATTTTATAACCCCTTTGTGTCTTTATGTTTCAGATCTGTGTCTTGTAAGGAGCATATTGCTGGGTTTACCTCTGTTTATCACGTTTGACTGTTGTTGTAATAGGTGAGTATAATTCAGTGACATTTATTATGATTGCTCATAAAAACGTTTTGTTTTCTATTTATTATGCCTTAAACATTTTTGATTGACATATAATAGTTGCACATATATCTTTTTTTACTGGGCAAATTCACCTTATCCCTTTTTCTCCCCTACTTTGGTTTCTGCTATTATCCTTCTATTTTTAATATGCATACTTAACAAAACTCAACCTTAAGACTTTAAGATACTTGAACTCCAAAATATCTGCCAATTTCTGTGTTATTCTTGTCTGGTATATTATTTTCTTCTAGTTTTTGTTGTTGTTGTTTTGTTTTGTTTTGTTTTTTGAGACAGAGTCTCGCTCTGTCACCCAGGCTGGAGTGCAGTGGCACAGTCTCGGCTTACTGCAACCTCTGCCTCCTGAGTTCAAGCGATTCTTCTGCCTCAGCCTCTGGAGTAGCTGGGACTACAGACGCGCCACCACACCCAGCTGATTTTTTGTATTTTTAGTAGAGGCGAGGTTTCACTGTGTTAGCCACTGTGTTAGATCTCCTGACATCGTGATTTGCCCACCTCAGCATCCCAAAGTGCTGGGATTATAGGCATGAGCCACCGTGCCTGGCCTATTCTCTTCTAGTGTTAAATCTCCAAATTAGTAGTAGTAGCTCATTTATTCTATATACGGTTCGTATCCAGGAGGGGTTGGTTTCAGGACCCCTCCATGGATACCAGAATGCACAGATGCTCAAGTCCCTACATCCTTCTGTATACATTAAATCATCTCTAGATAATTTGTAATACCTAATACAATGTAAATGCTATGTAAATCATTGTTACACTTTATTGTTTAGGGAATAATAAGAAAAAAATCTGTACTGTACATGTTCAGTACAGACACAACTATCGTAGGCCTAACTATATTTTTTATCTGAGGCTGATTGAATCTGAGGATGCAGAACCCGTGGATAAGGAGGACCAACTGTATACATATGTATATATTTAATTGTGGTAAAATACTCAACGTAGAATTTATCATCTAAACCATATTTAAGTGTACAGTTCAGTGACATGAAGTACATTCATATTGTAATGGTAGCATCACCACCATCCATCCACAGAACTCTTCTTCTCGCAAAACAGAAACCCAGTACCTATCAAACAATAACTCTCTATCCCCCACTTTCCCCCGGCCTATGGCATCTACCATTCTACTTTCTGTCTCTGAATTTGACTATTCTAGGTACTTCATATAAGCAGAATCATATGTTGTTTGTCCTTTTGTGACCCTGATTTAACTTAGCATAATGTCCTCAAGATTCATCCATATTAGCATGTATTGGAATTTCCTCCTTTTTTAAGACCGAATAATAAGTATGTCATATATGGATAAACATTTTGTTTATCAGTTTATTCATCATTGGATACTTGGGCTGCTTCTACCTTTTGGCAATTGCAAGTGACGCTGCTACAAACATGGTTATACAACTGAGTCCCTGCTTTCAATTTTTTATATATACATGTGGTAATGTCTGTTTTTAATCTTTGATTGTCATAGTGTTTTTGGTAATGACTGAACCATTTTATCAGCATATTTTTGAGCACCTACTATCAATATCAAAAACAGACAAAAATAAGTCCTTGTTTTCATGGAGTTTATGTTGTGGGGGGTGGGTGGACAGTATATATAACTAAATTATAGTCATGTGCCGTATATGTATGGACTATATACATATATGACAGTTGTCCTGTAAGACAGTGGTCCCCAGCCTTTTTAGCGCTAGGGACTGGTTTTGTGGAAGACAATTTTTCCATGGACCGGGGGACGGGAGGGTTATGGTTTCAGGATGAAACTGTTTTACCTCAAATCATCAAGCATTAGATTCTCAAAAGGAGCGAGCAACCTATATCCCTCGCATGCACAGTTCAAAAGAGGGTTCACACTCCTGTAAGGTTGTAATGCCACCACTGATCTGACAGAAGGTGGAGCTCAGGCGGTAATGCTCGCTCATCTGCTGCTCACTTCCTGCTGTGTGGCCTGGTTCCTAACCAGGAACCAGTACGGTACCGGTACTGGTACGTGGCCCAGGGGTTGAGGACCCCTGCTGTAAGATTATAATGGAGCTAAAAAATTCCTGTCACCTAGTGACTTTCTAGCCAATATAACACTGTAGCACAATACCATCACTCGTGTTTGCAGTGATGCTGGTGTAAACAAACCTACTTTGCTGCCAGTCAGATAAAAGTATAACATAAAATTATGTGCAGTACCTAATACTTGGTAATGATAATAAATATGTTACTGATTCATGTGCCTACTATACTATACTTTTTATCATTAGTTTGGAGCATATGCCTATTTATTTTAAAAAAGTTAACTGTAAAACAGCCTCAGGTCCTTAAGGAGGTATTCCAGAAGAAGGCATTGTTGTCATAGGATGTGATAGGTCTGTGTGTGTTATTGTCCCTGAAGATCTTCCAGTGGGGCCAGATGTGGAGGTGAAAGACAATACCAATGATCCTGGACACTGTGTAGGCCTAGGCTAATGGGTGTTTGTATCTTAATTTTTAACAAGAAAATTTAAAAAGTTAAAAAAAAATTTTTAAGAACATAGCTTATAGAATAAGGATATAAAGAAAGAAAATATTTTTGTACAGCTGTACAGTGAGTTTTAAGCTATGTGCTAAGAGTCAAAAAGTTTTAAAAAATTGAAAAGCTGGCTGGACATGGTGGCTCACCCCTGTAATCCAAGCACTTTGGAAGGCCAAGGCGGGTGGATCACCTGAGGTCAAGAGTCAGAGACCAGGCTGACCAACATAGTGAAACTCCGTCTCTACTAAAAATATAAAAATTAGCCGGGCATGATGGCAGACTCCTGTAATCCCAGCTACTTGGGAGGCTGAGGCAGGAGAATCACTTGAACTCAGGAGGCAGAGGTCGCAGTGAGCCAAGATCGTGCCATTACTCCAGCCTGGGTGATGGAGCGAGACTCCGTCTCAAAAAAGAAAAATGGAAAAGCTTATAAAGTAACAAAGTTATAGTAAGCCACGGCTAATTCAACAATTTGAAGAAATAAAAATAATTTTATAAATTCCGTGTAGCCTAAGTGTACAGTGTTTATAAAGTCTATAGTAGTGTATAGTAGTGTCCTAGGCCTTTGCATTCACTCACCACTCACTCACTCAGAGCAACTTTCAGTTCTGCAAGTTTCATTCATGGTAAGTGCCCTTTACCACTGTACCATTTTTTATCTTTTATACTATATTTTTATCATTTCTCTCCTGTGTTTAGGTATGTTTAGATATACAAACACTTACCTTTGTATTGCAGTTGTCTACAGTATTCAGTACAGTAACATGCCATACAGGTTTC